AGCTTTGGCTTAATATAAACAAACAAACAAAAACAATCTATAGTGTAGTTTCCTGTGAGTAGCTGCAGCCTTTGCAGCGCTCCCCGCTCACCGCTGCGCGCGATCGCCGGATAATTAATGTAAACTCAGGCGTCGTAAGTTGTGTTGTGAGGAGTTGCCGCCAACCCGCAGCCCGACAGCACCATCCGTGTGCACACTGCGACACCCATTTTGATGTTTATGTGAGCGGAGAGCGCTTCCTGCAGAGAGGAGCTCCGGCCGGGCTCATTTTCGCCTGCCGGGTCAGCCGCTCTGTGTTTCAGTCTGAAGCCGTTGGCTGCTACTGAACCGTTTGGCTCTTTTCTCTACTAGCGAGCAAACCTACAATCTAGACCCAACTGTACATCCAGCTCCTTTTTCAGGGGATTTATCATCATATGTGCCCGTGTATCCAAAACACAGCGGTCATTGGGGATTCCTAGCAGCGGCTGGCCGGCTCTCAGGGCCGTTATAACGCTTTTTTCGAGGTTTAATTAGCGCTAGAAAACAACGGTGGTGGAGGAGGAGGAGATTCCATATTAGGAGCACAGAGGAGAAGCACCCCCCTTGTGTGATTTGGAGCTTTCGGTGAGTGTTTACCGTCTTTTTACGCCACATTGGCCGTTATAAATTGTACACCGGCGCGGGGTGAGCGCGTGCGGCCGCGGGTACCGGGGTCCGGGCCGGTTATTGCTCCGTTTCCAGCGTTTATTTGTGTGTTTTCTCTCGGATGTGGTGGGGGGATGGGCAGCGTCGGCGCGTGAGTAGGCGCGCGCGCGCGCGCGCGGCTTCGTGCGCATGTGTTTCGCGGGGCAGCTTCTCGCGCGCGGTGTGTGTTTGTGAGCGCGCGCCGGCTTCCTGCAACTACCGCCGCCTGTGAAATAATACGAGCAGCACCAGAACCAGCGGGCTTTATCTGGCACCGCTGGAATAATGGGAAAGTTTATGTGCGCAGAACCTCTCAGAATCACGGTGACTGAAAAATAGAGCAACCGGAAGACGTTTAGAAGCGGCCATGTGACGGTAGTAGGACAATACGGCAGCATTAAAATAATAATGATGGCAGTAATAATAACAACAAACTTTATTTATGTGGCAGGTTTGCAGAAAAAGAGCAGCTACACCTTTAAAAGCAACTCTATGATGTCAGAAAGGACAATAAAAATATGAATGGTGAAAATAATGTTAAACTTTATTTCTGTAGCACCTTTCAAAATAAAGTACAAGTTGCTTTACCAGAGAGAGCAACACCAACAACAAAAAGTAAAGCAAAAATAATACATTAAGAAGGCAGTAAACATAATATTATTATTAATAATAATCTTTATTTCCATTGCACTTGTCCAAACCAGAGTTACACACCGCCTTACAAAACAAAAAAGACAATTAAACATCATAAAATAGAACATAATATTTATTTCTGTAGCATTTTCTCATCCCAGTCACATGCTCCTGTTCAAAAAACAATAACAAAACACTATAAAGCAACAATAAGATTTTACTAAAGACGAACAATATAAAATAATAAAAATAATCGTCTTTATTTTGCAGCACCTTTCCAAACCAGAGTGACTGGATGCACTGGTAAAAATAAAACATTTAAAGAGCACAATAAAGCATCATAGCAGTATTAATAATCTGTGTTTCTAGAGCACATCTCTTAAACTAGAGTTGCTCTCAAAGAAGAACAACAATAAAACCCAATAATACCTTTTAGGTTTAACCAGAGATCAGACTTCTTACTTCATTTATTTTAATGTTTAAACCATTTAAACCGGTGTTATGGATCCGTGTTTGCGTTCTCGCTCTATGTTTGGATTGTGGTGAAATGCGTTGGTTTCGTCAAACAACAACAACAAAACCCGGAGCGCCTTTGAACCCGACCTCAGACTGTACTTTCAGCTCCGTTGGTGTCCAACAGTTGTACTCGTCGTACCAGTCTGGTGTGTTGTAGCTCCACAGCAGCTCGCTCTGAGGTTTAACCTTGATTATCTGCAACTTACACTCCATTCACAACTGGGCCAAAGTTCACTGTTGTCATTATGTGTGTGTGCTTTTGTTTTTTTTCTAACCTTTATGCCAATTTGATGGAAAGCTTACTAGAGTGCTGTACAGCTGGTTGCTCCAAAGCCATGGGCGGTGTGGGGGAGGGGTGAACACACACTCTCTCACACACACACACTCACACACACTCTCACACACACCCAAGAGGGCCACTTGCCAACCTTGTGAAGCTCAACTCAATGACACAATGTACCGGTCCCAGATAAGCCTTCGGTATCTGAGCTGGGAAGCAAACGGCTGGTCGTACAGACCCACCGGCTAGTCGAGCTTTAATGTAGTCGCTTCTTCCAGCACACGTCTTTATTGTTGTCGGATACTTGCTTTTTTTTGCCCGCGTGGCGTTTTCTGGTCTGATTACATATTGCAGCAAATATTTGAAGTGGGTTATGTAAACAGTGATGTGTACGGGGTGCTGGTGTCGTTGGTTTTATAGTGGAATGAATCGTTATCGCACGTAAATCGCGGTTACTCAACGAAACCACAAAACAAACTTGATGTATACACAGGCTAAGCAAAAATAACATATAGCCAAACATCTTCGCTCCACCATTGGCTGTAGTTCTTGTGATTGTTATGCGTTATGGTGTGATTTATTCTTGTCGTTGTCGGTACAGTAAACTGGACGCCCAATCCGAGTGCCGAGTGTTTGAGCTGTAGTCCACTCCGTGTTCTTGTTAAGCGATTGCTCACGTTGTTTTTCTACGTTGTCTAGACGAAAACATGGCAGCGTCTAGTGCACGTATGTACACATCCGAATACGCAAATGCTTGATATCATTATGTGTAGAACTGGATGAACTCCACAGGTGTGCAGGTCGTAAACTGGTCTCCGGTCGGCCCTCGTCCTCGACTCTTTGGCCAGTCGAGCTTGTTGATTGTACTTCTGCATTATTTTTGGTCGTTTGGCTGTTTAACCCTCTGAACCACAAGCTGTTTCTGGGTTTTTATTTCGTTGCTTCGGTCACATTTTTACTCACTGTGGGCTCATTTTTCTCTGTAAAGTCCTGCACCTCTATGGAAACAGTACGACTGTGGCTAGTAGCAGAGAGGACTCTAGAGAAGCTGAATATTTGTTGTGAAAAAATGGAATAAACCTATAAGCAACATTTTCCAAACACAGCTGTCACCATTACTTGGAAAATCTGCGCTCTATATATTGTAGATGTTTTACTACTTGTACGGTTTTTAATTAATTTCCGTACTTGTCTCCTATCTGCTGGATGTAAACACAGCCTGCAGTTCAGCAGAAAAGTCAGATTTGTTTTGTCATGTTGGCAGCTGAGTCAGTAACGGAGTCCCAGGATCACAGATGTTTTTGTTTTTTAACAGGAGAACAAGTAGAATAAAGAGATTGTGATGAAATATGTCGATTTTAAGCTTAGATTTGTTAAACTTTCCAACGGAACGGCACGAGTAGTTCAAGGACGGTGGGAAGTTTGACAGTTCTTTCAGTTTTTAGAGTTTCTGGCTGATAAATTGTGTATTTTTTGTAAACAACATATCGTGCTTTGCAGGTTTTGGTGCTCAGAGGATTCATTTGTTTTGACTATTGACTCCCGTCGAGTTATTTCCTCACATCCAGATGCGCCACATGTGTCAGCGGCCCTTCAGTCTGTGTTGGTGCTGGTGCACCGATGATGCTTTCAGTAGTTTTAATGGCCTGTTTAGTGCATAAGTCGTGTTTAAGACGTGGATGCTCTTTGGGACAACTGTTCAGCTCGGCGTATGAAGCGAATCCCCGCGCCCTGTATCGGCTCTATCACTCGTATATTGGACGTTGTGGAACTAAAGCTTGGAGCCCGATGTGTCTTTCGCTCTGTGATCAAGTGACTTGAACAAAAATCTGCCTTTCATTATGGCGTGTGCGCCACCCTGTTATATTGACGAACATGTCTGATGTTATGTGACATCGCTGCCTCATCAGTCTGTTGAAGCGACGGCGTTCTGCCATCGATGTTCGCAGGTTCAGTCGGATATACCCACAAGACACACCAACAAATCTGTGCCATGTTTTCTAAAATCGGGCAGCGCATCAAGTGGTGTATAACGCATCAAAAACAAAACTATTGTTTGCCTCAGTCCCAACGGCAGCTCCTGCTGGGATTAGGTCGCAGCTCCGACAGTGTCACTTCCCAGACGGTCGTGTCGCCCACCATATGCACCCAAGTCCTGTGTCACCAAGTCGTAAGCTCGTGCTCGCCAAGCTGTTAATGGAACAGTGTCAAGGTTCAGAGTTGTGTTGTGTTAAAAGTGAAGTAGGTCCAACCTGGTGAGATTGTGACTTCTCCGGATGAGTTAGCGAGGTTCCTCTTCAGACACGAAGCCGACACGTTCGGACGCCGTCTCGTTAATGGACGTCAGAGCGAGTCTAAGAGCAGCTTGAGTCTTTAGATCAGGACAAAGCGCTCGTCTTTACTTCTGAACTCTGCTCTGGATCTCTTTTGATCGCGTGGCTGTGTACAGCTAGAGGCTTACAAACGTCCTTCTTGTTGTTTGGGTTGTGTTATCAGTTGTTCTCGGTTAATTATTTTGCCTGAGAAATGTGAGAAAACAGTGAAGAATCTGTGTTACTAAAGCACAAGACAGCGGCTTCAGGCATCTGATGTCGTCCGAAACCAAAAGGTAGAAAATCCGCTGAACTTCACGAACCAATAAGCTTTCAGTTCTCACATTTGCAGCTCTGCGACTTTGCTGTTTGTGCTTAAATAAAGATTTTTATCAATTATATAAGTAATTGCAGATCAGTTTTCTGATGGCCAAGTGATGCACAGCTGAGTCAAACCAATTCTGCAAATAGAAATGGTGCCATTTTAAATCGTGCATTCATGCATTATGTTCTGGAGTCATGGGTTAGGGTTCAGACTAGTGACATCGATATGTGGAAGCTAAACATGGCCGTTGGACATGACCACTGATGTTTAGCGTGTTTGACATCAGCTGGTTCAGCACCTTGGACGCCTTAAAATACCCCCAAAAAGATGATTATTGATGATTATTCTCTCACGTTACATGACATCTTCCACGCTGTGACCGATGTGTGTCCCAGCCAGAATTTATGACTTATTAATTACCTGATATGACCCAGTTTCTATCTTATCAGACGATGCGGTGCGTTTTCCCGGCAACATACACAACACACGCCTTATCAGCGCCGGGCTACATCATAATCCAATCCAACACCCTGGTGATAAACCCGACTCTCTGTTTTTTGTTAGCTGTTTGCTGAATCAGGTCATTGGTGATTATCGCTTTGGTATAAAATAACCGGGTTGAAATGATTTCACACGCTAGCGTTTTACATGTATGTAGGCTAATAAGGCTAGCAGGTGGAGCGATTTCAGTCGAAAAGATTCCCGTCGGTTGACTACAGCCCTATTTTTCCGCTTGTTGCTTTGTTGTTTTTATTTTCCAACTCTGCAGTGATTCTCCCAGACTGAGACGAGGAAACGAAAACTCTCCTTTGATATCAGAATCCGTCAGAGAGCGGTGGAAGTAAACCGGGCCGCCTCACCTTGCTGCGGCGGC